CTAGACTCTCGATTAGATAGTGTCTTAGTGGTTTTGTCGTTCCTTACCAAAGCTAGTTTTACCTTTTGAGTCCAAATGGGATCTCAGAGTAGCGTGGTAAATGCGGGGGCCGTAGAAGAACTCACAAAACTCAAGCCTGATCCATCGTTCTTTGCTACCATGCTTCAGTTCTCCGACGGTTCATCTACTTTTTCCTCCTACTCCCTAAACAACTCACCCACGCTCATCGTCTTCCCGCTGATATGATCTGTCATTATCGACCTTACATCATCACTGAAGTGACATCCTGATGCCGACAGCGACAAGGTCATGATAGTGACCCAACCTACGTTGCTCCTTGCTTCTAGATTCACAAGCCACCGTTCCGTCCAACCAAGGGTCAGCTCTGGGTTGTACAATCTTGGGATTACCTCATAGAACCCCTTGATTGGAGCATGAGACGTTTGTGGAACTATGGTTGAGATCACTATGCAAACCTTTTACAGTATTAGTAGTGCGCTGAGTAGCACCTGTAGATGACTCGGCAGTGCCCTGACGAGCAGCCAACGTTCGATAGCACTCGCACCCTCATAGCCATGAGCCGGAATTACTTCACCCATGGAACTGTCTTCAGATGTCATAGCTTTCTGCTCATTTCCACTCTCAATGACGTCTGGGATGAATCAACCGACATCAGATGTACTTCCCCGTTTTAGCTCCCGCAGTGCGGGACCCGCACCGACCCTCACAAACACTAAAGCTAAGAACGTGCAGTGTATGTGGATGACAAAAAGATTAGTGGATTAGTGGATGACATCGGTCCCGGACGGGCTACATCGAACAGATTACATCGGTCCCTATGAATCACTTAAACTCAAAGGTTCTACCTGAGACTCAGATCCTGAGTCCTTAGATCCAAAGTCCTTAATAGCTCAAACCTAATCAAAAATCAATGGGAAGTATCCAGCAACCGTTACGACTCGAAGGAAGCCGTTAGATCGCACTGTACTTGTAGGAGGCGATAGTAGATATCAAGATAAGAGGCGAGCGAGAATACAAGTAGCGCTGTCCCTATCGGGAGTCCACATTTGGGACACTTCAGTAACTAGACTTCCGAGATCGATAATATGTCAATACCGTGGTGGATCATCCCTCTTCTAGGCTACCTAGCATATAACCGATTCAAGAAGCAACCTCAAGGTAGTGTTGGCAGGGACAGTCCAAGTCAAGGCATGCACATTGGTTTAGGAGGGGCGACAGGGCAGTCAATGGCTGCCAGCCCAGCTGCCGTGGCCTTCTCCTTGCACTTGCTGGTACTGGTTAATGCTGTCCTCTATATAATCCCCCTTGTGGTAGTGTAACCCAATTCGTCTCCGCCAATTGACTCTTTCTGATAGGCATACGTGGCTCATATACCATCGATGGTCTTCTACCGAATGACCTTCATGGGCAGTGCTTTCGTCTGCATCTACACTATCTGGACTAACTATGGTCTTCCTCCGGTAACTGCCATGGGAGGAGTCAGATTGCCGCTATAGATGTGCCTCGTGGCATCAGCTAGATCGGATGTCCCCACTGTAGGTTCGGAGTGGTATGCAAGCCTTCCAGATGTGGATGAGTCGAGTCACCTTGGGTGCAGACTTCCCGTTCCTTTTTATGAGTTGTAATTGGGGTATGGTCTTCATATGCTTCCATATAAGCCATATTGTCGAAGTGGAAGCTCTCGCCGGATCGGTGCCATGATGGCATTGCCATCTCCATCAAAGTCGTATCAAGTTTGGTGGCTTTGTGGTCGTATTTGTTTTTGAGTCTTGCTGCTCCTCCGTGATTCGAGGCGAGCTCCGCGGCTTTCTGAGTTCAATCATTATCTGTTCAGTGTTACTGGCGACAGGAAGCTTCATGCCGAATATATTTGGGTTGTTCGTCATTGTACGTCGTTCCCTCTGGTACTGCGGTTCTTTTGCTAACTCGCACCTTACCAGTAAGCCCCCGTATACCGTTCTTTCTCATGTGGTGTATACGGTTTCAGATGCTCCTGTTTGGGCCAAAATCCAACCTTTTTGGCTGAAGCTCAAGTCTAAAGAAACAGAGATAATGCGGGTGTCCACCATATGCGAACTTGGTACTATCGCTCAACGCTCGTCGACTCTTGAACCGTGGTGAGTGCAGGCATCGGTTTCCAGTACATCATCAATTTGTTCACCCCCTACCGAGAGATCATGTCATGTTTCCTCTTCTGGAGTCTACTGCGGATAAGGTAATTCCAACTTAATTTTCTCGTCATCGAACTACTCGGCGGTTTAGGTACCAAGCACCAAGGTCTTCGGCTCATCATCACGAGGCGTGGGGCATCGTGGATTCGAAAACACGGTGAGAATAGTCATCATATTGCTCGCGCTCAACGTCCATATGCTTCAGAACCCTAACGTCCCTCCCAGTGATAAGTACTGTCGTACAATACGGGAAGAAATGGTTCAGTCAGAGCCTCGCTACTCAGCAAGCACAACAATGATACTGTTAAGTTTGTTTCGACCAATACACCTCATCTTTATATATTGTTGTGTTGAGTCATCCATTGTAAATCGGGAAATTGTAAATTGTCGTGGTACTATCGGCACGCATTCACTGGGAGTTTTGAGAATCACAATCCTGTTGCTCTAAATCAGAGAGTCTACGTTTCCTTAGGGATGGAGGAAATTTTGCACTTGCTCCGATTGTCGTTGTGGGGCGGGCACAATGACTGCCTTCATGCGTGGCACTGTTTTGGCAATATCATTCGTGTGCAAAGGAGATCTGGGTAAGAGCACGCTGAAGCCATGGTGGTACTCATCTCTCTAGTGCTAGCCTACTCGAGTCCGATTTCTAGGACGTGTAACGGCAAAGTATCCGCTTCTGGCACGAATAGAGTTCAGTTAATTTATATATTTGTGGATGCTGAGTCGAATGCGTTTCTCTTCCGACGACTCGCCATTTACCATCCCTACACAACACGATTGGGATCGAAAACGCACCCGCACGTAGTCGAATAATGTGATATAGACTTCATGCTCATATACGGCTATAGGGGGCAAAAATGGCGACTAGGCCAGTGCTTCAATCACGAAAGAATTCTTACAGTAAAGGAGGCGCGGAAGGAGAACGATCGTCTCGGTGGGGGAGGTCTCTGTGTCAACCATGGGTTAAAGCTTGGTTACAGACCAAGGGCTGGTCTCTGCTACAGCTTTAGTGCTGGTTTCAACCGGAGTGCTAGTGAAGGTCGAAACCTGGTACCCAGTAGTGGGCTTTGTTTGGGACTGTGGAACAGTATTGTCTGGGAGATCAGCAGCTGTCTTAACCGGAGCCATGATAGTGCTCCCCAGAGTCTCGGCAATGGTCTCGGCTATAGGCTTAACAGTGACTTCGGCTATAGGCTCAACAGTGGTCTCGGCTACGGGCTCCACAGCGGTCTCGACCGGAGGCTCAGTAGTGGTCTCGAACGGAAAATCAGTAGTGGTCCCGAACGGAGACTCAGTAATCCCTACCGAAGCCTCAGCAGTCGTCTCTACCGAAGGCTCAGCAGTGTCACTACCGAAGCCTCAGCAGTGGTCCCTACCGAAGGCTCATCAGTGGTCTCTACCGAAGCCTCGACAGTGGCCTCGACCAGTGGTTGAGCAGTGGTCACGACTTATGCTCAGCAGTAATGTCAGTTGGGAGCTCAGTGACGGTCCGAGCTGGAACCTCCGATCCGGAAGGAGTTGCAATAGTGGTCGTCTCAGGCGACGAGGCACTTTCATCTTCTTCGCGGGTTTGTTCCGTCAGATCAGCACTATCTCCTTGTGCCATAGGACTCTCTGTGAGGCTACTATACTCGCATTGCAAAGGCTTCAATACATCGTGATTGCAGCTCAGATCGTTCGGCTGAAAACATGTGGAAGTTCCGCATGTTATCTTATCTAAAATATAAACCAAAGAAAACCGATGGAGTTAGCCAAGGGTCTTGGCCCAAGACTTGCAGTATGAACCATGGTACTGTGGGTCGTTGTCGCAGGACTCAGTATTGCCACAGGCAGTGGAACAGTCGTCGGGCTGACCATTGGCTACAAAAAGCACGTGTAGAATCAAGAAGTGAAGATGCTGCATGTTAGTTTACACAGGCTGAGGACAGCACGCCTACACAGGGGGAAACTTGGTGAATCCTCCAGAGACCGATAGAACCAACACGACAGGATCTGCAATCGTTAGAAACTACTTACTCGCGAACAGATACTGGAGACATGAATATAGAATTGAAATGGGCATGCAGAGTTATACTCGCCATATTGTCGGTGATTAATTTTCACTCTTCAATGACTTGGAAAGAATTCAAACTGGTGGTAGCTACTCTATCCTGTAAAGTGGGCAGATAGGTGATAGTCATGACTCGCAGTGAATACAACGTTAGCGCCGAAGATTGGGGGTGGTTTCTACTACAGGCTCGATTACAGGATAATAACTAGTTACAATAGGCAAATCGGTGGTAATCACGACGGGAAGCTGGGCAGTAGTCTCGCTTGGTGGCTCAGCAGTAGTCTCGACCCAATGCTCGACAGTGGTCTCAACGGAAGGCTCAGCAGTAGTCTCGACCCAAGGCTCGACAGTTGTCTCGACGGAAGGCTCAGCAGTAGTCTCGACCCAAGGCTCGACAGTGGTCTCAACGGAAGGCTCAGCAGTAGTCTCGACCCAAGGCTCGACAGTTGTCTCGACCCAAGGCTCATCAGTTGTCTCAACGGAAGGCTCATCAGTAGTCTCGACCGAAGGCTCGACAGTTGTCTCAACGGAAGGCTCAGCAGTAGTCTCGACCCAAGGCTCGACAGTTGTCTCAACGGAAGGCTCAGCAGTAGTCTCGACCCAAGGCTCGACAGTTGTCTCAACGGAAGGCTCAGCAGTAGTCTCGACCCAAGGCTCGACAGTTGTCTCGACGGCTGTCACGACCAAAGGCTCGACAGTTGTCTCAACGGAAGGCTCAGTAGTAGTCTCGACCCAAGACTCGACAGTTGTCTCAACGGAAGGCTCATCAGTAGTCTCGACCCAAGGCTCGACAGTTGTCTCAACGGAAGGCTCATCAGTAGTCTCGACCCAAGGCTCGACAGTGGTCTCAACGGAAGGCTCAGCAGTAGTCTCGACCCAATGCTCGACAGTTGTCTCAACGGAAGGCTCAGCAGTAGTCTCGACCCAAGGCTCGACAGTTGTCTCGACCCAAGGCTCATCAGTTGTCTCAACGGAAGGCTCATCAGTAGTCTCGACCGAAGGCTCGACAGTTGTCTCAACGGAAGGCTCATCAGTAGTCTCGACCCAAGGCTCGACAGTTGTCTCAACGGAAGGCTCAGCAGTAGTCTCGACCCAAGGCTCGACAGTTGTCTCAACGGAAGGCTCAGCAGTAGTCTCGACCCAAGGCTCGACAGTTGTCTCAACGGAAGGCTCAGCAGTAGTCTCGACCCAAGGCTCGACAGTTGTCTCAACGGAAGGCTCAGCAGTAGTCTCGACCCAAGGCTCGACATTTGTCTCAACGGAAGGCTCAGCAGTAGTCTCGCCCCAAGGCTCGACAGTGGTCTCTACCGGAGGCTCCGCAGTGGTCTCTACCGGAGGCTCCGCAGTGGTCTCTACCGGAGGCTCCGCAGTGGTCTCTACCGGAGGCTCCGCAGTGGTCTCTATCGGGGGCTCAGCAGTGGTCTCTACCGGGGGCTCAGCAGTGGTCTCTACCGGGGGATCAGCAGTGGTTTCGACCGAGGCCTCAGCAGTGGTGTCTCCCCGGGGCTCAGCAGTGGTCTCTACTGGTGGCTCAGCAGTGGTATCGACCGGTGGCTCAGCAGTGGTATCGACCGGGGGTTCGGAAGTGGTGTCTACCTGGGCAGTAGTTTTGACCGAGGCCTCAGCAGTGGTGTCTCCCCGGGGCTCAGCAGTGGTCTCTACTGGTGGCTCAGCAGTGGTATCGACCGGTGGCTCAGCAGTGGTATCGACCGGGGGTTCGGAAGTGGTGTCTACCGAGGGCTTGTCAGTGGTTTCGACCGGAGGCTCGGCAGTAGTTTTGACCGGAGACTCAGCAGTGATCTCAACTGGAAGATCGCCAGTAGTCTTGACTGGTGGCTCGTCAGTAAATCCAGTATATGGCACAGTAGCCTGGTTTGATGGTCCACCAGATGCCTCCCTTTCGGACTCGGTAGTCACAGCTGAGAGAACAGTACTGGTTCCCGTTGGAGGCTCGGCTGTGGTATCAGGTAGGCGAAACGCAGTAGTCTTGGCCGGTGGCTCCACCGTGTCATCATAATCGTCGTCAGGCAGACTGTCACCCTCTGCGAGCTGGGACTCAGTCGTCACCAGTGGAGACACTTTACAAGAGAGTGGAGGGAGAACACTGTCATCACAAGTGGGGTCGTTGGGCTGATAACACAGTGAGCCATCGTCTCGAACATAGAAACCGAAACATGTGGATGGGCTCAACCAATATTTGCAGTAGGAACCGCGAGCTTGAGGATCCTCAGCACAACTTGACGTAGACCCACATGCCGAGGTACATGCGTGATTGGGATCTATTGGAGTGAGAGCTCCGCCATACCACAGAAGGCTTGCGAAGACTGTCGAGATCATATGAAAATCTCCAGAAGGACTAGAAACTGAAGACGCACTCGCTCCTGGTCAATGAGCAGTGCTCATCAAGGCTCCACGGTGGAGCGCTACCGACAGAGATCAAGCAAATCATAGGGTCTAAATGAACGGATGTTTGACTCGCCTAGTAAACCGGATGTTCTATGCTGACACGGTTATGAGCTGTTACGAACTGTTGGAAACGTCTGGGCGGGCGAGCCCCATATTATTCACACAATCAGTCTGTCGGGAAGGTAGCATACACTACCGTGTACTTTCATACGGGAAATTTCGGATTACAAGGGTTGACCTGTCGTGCACAACGGAAGAGATATGAATAATCACAGAGCACGAGACGGTTTCCACTACTCCGCGTCAGTTCAGTGATGTAATATGCTTCATATGAGCTTGAAATTCCACGACACTGTATATCAGTCTGGTGCTTACCATGATGACCACTGTCGATGAAGTCCGCTTGGACATACCACACATCCGAGGAATATGGTCGTGGACTCATGCAAGTGCTCATGTTTACGCATCACTACCTCAACGCAACAGTTCGTTCTACACCACTGCTACATGTCCGTAGCTATCGTAGTTCATGAGCGTATCTTTCAGTTTCGAAAGATACTTTCATCTCTCGCGTTTTCCTCGCGCGCGGCGAAGACATTAATCAAAAAGTCTCAATATTGAAGTCACTTGGACGTACACTAGCTCATATTCTTCCGTGGGAGCGAAGGGAACATATCGTTGTAAATTACACCAACCACGTAACAGAATTATGGACTCGTTGGTTTCGCAGTCTAGGATCCATGCTAGTCCGGAGACCAGTGGGACACATAATGACCCAGAATCTTCCCAACCTTCGACTTCTGGGTCTCAAATGTTGTTGGTAGTAGTAAACATCACCTAGCAGTGTAATAATACATAGTAACCGACTTTCCATTATTGAAGTGTAATCTATGTAGTCAACGAGCAAAATCGCAAGCTCGAATGATTGCTATGCAGGTGAGAGTTCGAGGTCCAACACCGAGGGCTCGGCTCACTCAGAAAAGCATGAGTTCACGAAGTTCAGCAGTTCCACCTTCTCAATTCGCCTATCTATCTAGACAGGCAATGTTGCGCATGCGGGAAGGTCATCTTCAGTCGAGATACATCCTTCCTTTCTGGCTAGTGGACTCCACTGGGGAACTGTGCACATCCACGAAACACGCCCACAGTCACCACCATGAGTGTTTAACACTCATTTAACCTTCAGTGTTGGATGCTCATTGGTGCCAGTATTCGCGTTGATTCATATGGAACGAATCTCCGGAAAATATGAACTTGAAGCTCACTGGAGTGTCCTGTCTTCTAATTCATCGTTTCGTCGTTGTTTCACATACCCTCACAACTTGTGAGTCACAAGTTAACACCACAAACTGTTTAGTGAGAAATGTGTCAACGGGTAAACAGTGGCAGCATTTCCCGATGGGGACGTATTCTCGCTCATCAAGCAACCTTGAGTACAAGCTTGGGCATGATGGACATCGTCATCAACTCTTGGAACAGCAGCTTGCACGCATATGGTATATGAACCTACCACCCACAGCAGCAGTAAAATGACAACGACAAACCGAGTAGCTGTTACCTGTGATATCGTCGAGTTCTTGCACGCCCTGCATTCGTAGTGATTCTTGTACAAGTTCGCGATCGCAAACATACCACAGTTATCACATACGTGAACCCTGGAAGACCGAGAATATACCCACCACCACGAAAACCGTCTCCAGCTCAAAAATGACTGTTGAAATCACCTGTAAGCATCCGAAATATCAAAGAGTCTCTCCTTGAGGAACTTGGCCGCTCCGTGACTAATCATGCAATCACGTTCCATCTCTCCAAATCGCAGACCGCCCTCTCGTCCACGACCCTCCATAGGCTGTCGTGTGAGCATCTGCATTGCATACATCACCAAGTATCTCAGAAAAGAACCGAGCCTACCTGCATGGGCCCTCGAGCTCTTGAATGAATCTTGTCTTCAACCATATGCTTCAGTCGCTGATAGTACCTGACACCCACGACTCACATCCTAACACTGTCGAACCTCCCGCCTCACGTTGGACCGATGAATATCTTTGCTGGTAGCCGTAGACCAGTATGGCCGTTGTACATAACCTCTCGGCCCTGTCTCTGGAAGCCCAACTCATGCAACCGCGCCATGATCTCATGAACAGTAACCTGCAACGATCACCCATACCCACGCACGGTCCGGCTGTGCTCAGCTCACTTGGGAAATGGCGTGGCATCACCCTCCTCTCCACTAAGTAGTCCAACCTTCCCGAGCAAACACTCGACAGATGACAATAGTCATCGAGAGGGCACAGCATGAGGGTTCATAATGATATCAGGGACCACTCCAAACTGCGACCAATGATAGTAATGTCGATGGTACCCCCGACTTCTACTGTGTGAAGGGCATGTCTTCTTGTCTGTAGGAAATACCCATGGTACCCTTCTGACCGTGTCGAGAGGCGAACTTGTCACCAATGGTTGGCACCCTCAACGTCCTCACACGGATCTTCGTGAACTTGTGACCACGAGCATTCACAGACAACATAACCTAACAGGAATAATCACGTGCACTGCGCGAGACACGCTAGTAGCTGATGACCTGATCCACAACACCATTATCAGCGCCCTTGAGGGCCACTGAACAATCGCGTTCAGTATACCTGTGAGCACACAAATAGATCACCTACACCAAGGCGCCATTCTTACTTCTGGATGCGACCTTCCTCATCTGTCTGATTAGGAATAGGCGATACCTTCCCTATAAGAATATCATCACCATGAACTCGTGTACCTACGACCAACATGTCCACCTACGTTATATCTCGCATGCTCACCAGGATTGATAAGACCATCATTATCCAGCTTAGAGTAGTCACCTCTCTTCATAGCGTACGTCTTGGACCAAGATGGAGCACGGAATTCCTCAACGACCTGCGGACGAAGACCACTTACTCCTTCCCAACCAGCAACGACTACGACCGCCCACCTGAGCTCCCTGCCGCTTCTCATCAGCCATATAGCTCTTGAAGTGAACCGATCTCATGAAGCCTCGATCGATCGAAGAGGCGTTCATGATAAGGGAATCTTCCTGGTTGTATCCAGAGTAAGTCATAATAGCGACCTAAACACCAACACCTATTCCCAGCCTGACCTCAGCAGCAGCCGCCTACGATAGCGTTGTTGCCGGCGGGCAGTTCTCTGAATCTCAGATACTCCATCGCCCGCGTGCCCACCAAGGGCTTTTGAGGATAGTTCAACACATGCGCCATAGTGTCGATACGCATCTGAAAATACGACCCTCAACACTTTACGAACAACCAGGCTCCAGCACCGTACGTTGAAGTTGGTCGCATACACTCCCATAGCCTGCTTCCCCATAGCACTCTGATAAGTGTTACGAGGACTCTGGTTATGATCAGGGAAGGGAATAATCGAAGCACATACACCCAGGATCAACGATGGGTGGATCTCACAGTGGGTATACCTGAACACCACATCAAGTGCGCCCTAGGGGGCATCCATCACCAAGACACCTACGTATGGCAATAGCTGCTAGCCTTGCTCTTCCTCCTCTGTGCATTGCGTAGATCATCCACGAACATTGCCACCATACACGTCTCCTCCTGAACATACAGTGACCGCCGTCGCCCCGTTGGACAACACACGAGGGGCTCACTTCCTCAGCATCAATGTACTCAACCAGACCCTCCTCCACCAGCATGTCCCACCCACCGTGCTCATTGTTCAGCTACAACAAAGAAGGATCATCAACACATCCTTAAGAGTCGCCAATTCCCAGTCTTACCAGCATGCGTCGTAATGCTTCCACATGTTCCCTTTTAATACACAGCTTTTGACTAGGAGGCGGTTGAACAACATACAATGGTCGACAGGCACGCCCACCGTCAGTGAAGATTCGCAACTCGTTCGCCTACAGTAAGACGATCCACACCCCTACCATCAACCATCAACCTCACCTGGAGATCACGAATAATAGACACTTCAGGATCGATATCCCTCTTCCTCCTCAAGTCACGCAACGTCTCACACAACATCGTTGCGTCTGCGTGCATGCCCACCCATTGCCCATTCAAGAAGACCTAAAACCACAGCAGCTACACCACAGGACCACTACCAGTCCTCCCACCTTAGTCATATGCTTAATCTGACTCGGATTGATCTCATCCAGGTTCTCCAGACCCCACTCGTTAAGGAAGTCATACACTACGTTGGGGAGACTCCCAACCGTGATGGTACACCTAAACCCTCAACTACCCAGAAACATCACCAAACCCTCTTTACATTAACGCAATGTTCTTCACCAACCCAACCGCCTGCCCTTCTGGGGTCTCAGCAGGACAGATCATACCTAAGTCCCATCACTACCAGCCCGTCCTTCTGATCCTCTCAACACTCACCCCAATGAGTATTGTGCAACTGCCGAGGCTTAGCCAGCTTTCCACTACGCTCCAAGGGAGTGTTCATGCGCCTTAGATGGGACATGGTCGACATGAAGGTGAGTCGATTCAACACCTGAGACCAATACCAGCTATTGTGCAAGTTATGGTCACAACTCTAAGACCCAACACGTTATTACAAAGCGCCTCACATACGCTTACTCGTAAATCAGGAGAAAGCGCGTGTGAGGCGGTCATCACACACAATGAGAAGGGACAGAGATGACTCCTGACCATCCCCCCGACATTAATTCTATACCATTTACACGACCTCCTTTCCTTCCTACCTGGCTCACTCCTGTCCGCACTGATTTACCAGACTTATCAATACCCCAGTTACCAGTAGCCAATTGGTATCTGACCACTTCCCCTACCACTACCCCAACAACAGTGCTCCCATCACCTCAGCCCATCTGTAATGCTCGAGGCGCTTCGTATCGCAGAGTTGAGATCAAAGTGCCGACCACTATCCACTTGACGCTGCAGGATCCTCTTACTGTCTTGGACCAACTACAGTTCATAAATTCACACCTACCACCAACCAGTCCTGCCAGGAGCATCACCTTCCTGAAGAGCTGTGCAAAGCTAGCCGCCATGAGTGGTCCTGCCATGTCCATCCTCTTCTTTCCGAAGTGATCCCTGTCATCCTCAGCAATCCTACCCAGCTGGCCCAACAGCAACCGATGGACCATGTACCTACATATGAGTACCACTCAAGAAGCAAGGAGAAATGTCCCTTAGTTAAAGCATGACGAGGCCTAACCCAAGTACCAAATCGCCTATCTATTCACTCTATCGTAAAAGATACAAACAGGCTGTATTGCGTAGTGATAATATAATGGACGAAAATGCTACTACCATCACGAGCGTGATTCGTAACGCCCAAACTCAGTGTGTAGCAGCCTACCCGATGAAATAGGCCTTTCTGGGTTCACAGTACTGTTTGACGCCGAGATGAGGCAGCAGCTCCTTCTGCAGCAGCTCCTTAGCGTATCTATTATATACATTGGGTAATCCAGCTACCATCACCATCACAACCCGTCCCTACTGTATACGACCACTCTTCGATGTCCCAATGGTTGGCCCTCTTTTAGCGATGAAGTCCAAGGCAACCTGCCACGAGGCATCATATCCAACAG